AAATATATAAAAAAAATAAAATAACATTACAAACTATCGATATATCTATGTCTTGCTAAAAGTATGTTACATATATTAACAATAATCCATGTATGTCCAGTTCTCTAGCTGTCGTATGTTTCATTTTTCCTTTTGTTTAACATTGTAGAATTGTTGCTGTTTGGCACTCTTCTGGGCCAAACAAAATATGTGAAAACTTAGAGAAATCTCTGAAAACGAAAATAATACAAGAAAAAATAGTCATTCAACAAACACTGCATGTTATAAGCGCGCAAGCGAAATACATTGTTACTCAGACATTCCAGCAACCGGTATTAGAAATAATACTGAATATCATTTGATTTACTTTTGTTGTTTGCTTTCTTCTAAATTCACCTTCAAATGCACCAGTTAGTAGATTAAAACCGCTTCACACACAATACTTAACATTAACATCGAGTTAACAGCAAGTTAACAGTGCAACAAACAATAAGATAACAACGAAGATTGGACAACAATTTGTATTGAATTTATATATTCATTTTTTGGGCTGCTTGCGAACCAGTTCAGCAGCTCACACGGTTTTTTTTATAGGAATCATTTGAGAGCTCTTGCAGCTCCCGTACAGTCTTCAAAAATCCCGATTGCGATTACGACGAGCCTAGTCCAAATGTAGTTCAATATTTTACTAAATACAGTACCGTCCAAAAAAACCAGAACAGAGAACATGTAGCGTAGTTTGCGCACGGCCACAATTGATAATAGACTTTAAACTTATATTTTGTAGATAAGAGAAGCACACTTTTTGTAAAGTACACCACATTATAACATACAAAAAAATACAACACAAAAAAAAAACATAGTTAACAACATTTTATTTCACTAATGTATGTCGCATCAGCAACTGATGCCATTTTCATTTCGTAAATTTCTCATTTTGATTTCACCAGACTTAACTTTTAGATCTATCAAAAAACTAGAAAACTTGATCCAAAAAGCGGAAAATTTTATTAATGAAAAGTGACAAAGCGAGAAATTTCAGTGTATCTAAGTTAACTAACTAATGCATGTATTCTGAGCAAAGAGAAAACTGAACAAAACGAAATTGTTTTATGATAATTAAAAAAAAGAAAACAAAAACTATATACTTATATATATATCTATGACTTATACACTACATAAACACAAAGCAACCAATACAAGCAAACACTTTAATGAATATGTTCTATGTGCTATTAAACAACAACAACAAGATCCACACAAAAATTAGTCTTATTAACTCTATGCGTTATTATAAAATAATGAAAACTAATACAAAAAACAAAAAACAAAAATGCAAAAATTAACAAAACAAAAAACAAAAATTTATTATATTGAAAATTATATAAACGTTTTATTGTAAAAACCGTAAAAAACTTGTTGCTTCTTTTACTTAACTCTCGTTAACTGGAAAGTGCTAAATGGCAAAATCTTTACACTAATACTTCTGCGTACATTTTCTCTTTCTCTCTGACTGTCTCTCTCTCTCTCTCACACACACTTACACGCTCACACATACACATACTGTATTAATCTAAGAAGTTTTTACTGTGCGTTGTCCTTGACTCTAAATTATTTCCATATTTATTTTGCTATTTATTATGAGTTTATTTCTGATCTAAACTTATTTTGTAATTATTTTGCTAATTAATACAATTAGATTTGCTGGTATACATAACTGTTTGCTCTTAAGTTAACTTAAACAAATTATCCTTGACTCCCTTTTAATTTTGCTAACTTCATTTGAAAGCTTTCTGAAAAACCTTTCATTGGGCGTTTATCAATGTGTGCTCTCTGCTCGACTCTCTTRATTTCAATATCGAAACATACACACACACACCCACATACCCACACACACATACAAGCGAGATAGTACTCGTAGTACTCCAGTTCTCCACACATGGCTTGCTCGAGCTGGTACTTTCTGTTTGTAATTGAAAATATTACTGTATTGCTTATGACAACTTAAGAACTAGTTTATGTGTATGGAAGCATTATACTATTCAATAATATATATACAATTGCCTATATATATATACATAATATCTATACTCTTTAGAGTTAAGCGCTTTTGTAATGTTTCAAAGAAATGCTTAAAAAAAAAGAAAACATTTAAAAAATTTTGTTTTTGCTAACATTTTGTGCTCTTTTACACTTTGTCTTAATTTCCATTTAAGTCTCTCTCTTTATCTGTCTCTGTCTCTATATCTGTCAAATACAACTAATATTCTCTCACCAACGTTCTCTGTCTCCGTCTCCCCCTCTCTTTACACTCTAGTAGACTATCTGATCCACAGCTCTTGCATGTTTCTGTACCTCAAATTGAAAAATATATAAATTGAGTCGGAATAATAACTTTTTTTATTCTTCGATAAGCAGTTGTAAATTTCCGAATTTCTTTGAATGCATTACAAAAGTTTCCAGCGAGTTTCCAAACACACACACAAACACTCACACAATGCAGTAATCTTTTCAATGTCCCCACACTCTCGCTCTCACTCTCTCTCTCTCTCTCGCTCTCTCTCTATCTCTCTGTCTCTCTTTTGCTGTTACACGCAACACTCGTACAGGTTGTTCTTATATATATACATCTATATATATAAATACTCCTTCCATAGTGGGAAGTACGTTTCTCCTCTATATGTTACGTAACTCTCTCTCTTTCTGTACCTCTCTCATATTTGTTGAATATTCGTTATTATTTGTTCGTATTTTCCTTCTTCTTCTTTTTTGTTTTTCTTTTTGGAGCGTATCGTATTGTAATTTTTCAGCATGTGCTCAATGAAACAAGAACTTTTCGTAGCAAGTACAAAATCAAATATCAGAAACGAATCAAATCCGTATCGCCAACAACAAATTTGAAGTCCAGTGTTGCAAGTGGCTGTCACTCTCATGCTAACTGTGATTGAAACTTTCGAAGTACCCGCTAAATACGCATTACGTTTATTTACTATACTCGTATTTCGGCTTCTCAGGCATGTGGTATGATGGTAACTGAGCTACAATACTCAAAACAAAAACAAAAAAACAAAAAAAAAAAAGCTAAAAAAATAAATAAATAAAAACAATCGCACTTCTAAGGTAAGCTGGTGCACTGCCCAATGAGCTTCTTTATTATACTTGAACGTATGTATATGATATTATTCAAAACATTTAATTAGTAATTAGTAACTTGACTAGATATAATGTTTCTCTTTTTACGTTTTTAGCTTTATCTTTAGTTCCCAAATGCTTAAAAGCCTAAGACATTAGAGAGAGAAAGAGAGAGATGAATTCTAAAAGTTGGATTATGTTGTATTAAATTATGTTAAAATATTACTGTTAACTTTTCGCTTTGCATTTAACACTTAAAAGCTTAAAAGACTGCAGAATTTTTAAAAGTTAAGTCAGTCAGAGTGTCTCTCGCTCTCTCCCTCTCACTCTGATCTCTTTGGCTGTTAAATTACATATGTTAAGTTTTGTGGTAAAGCCCGTTGCAAGCAATGTTATTAACATGACTCTTTTCTTTTTCATGGATTACGAAAGTATTATTGTATGACTGTATGCTGATCAAATCGAAACAAACAAAATACATGCACACACAACAACAACGAAAACATCAACAACAACAACAACACAGAGCTGTCATATTACAAGAAAAAAAAAAAACAATATATGCTTGCAGGCAAATTCAAAAGCTTTGTAAACTAAATTAAATTGATAAACACACACATACATAGACCAACACCCACACACACACACCCACACAGACTCAACTGAGCTGCTCATCCGATGCGTTTTAACTGTTGCTTCAATTACGACTCGTTCTGGATATTGAGTATACGCCAAAATTGTAGCACACTCACACATCCACACACACACCCACACGCACACATATGATATATATATATATATATATGATGTACATATATATATCTGTACTTATATTTGATCGACTCTTGCAGGCTTGTTTGTACATATGTACTTAATGTAGTAAGTATTCGCATTACCGTTAAAGTTGTTTATTTATATTTTACGTTTCTCTGTGTGTGCCTGTCTCTTGTCAGAGAGTCCTAACTAACTGCCTCTACATATATATATACATAATTGATAGCTCTTTAAATATATATACATATCGACTATATGAGTATTTAAATTGTCTGTTTGTTTTTTAATTACAGCCGCTGCGCCAGTAACAAACATTTTTAAATGCGCTTCAAATACACAATTTTTGCTGCCGCCTGCTGTTTTTTTTTTTTTAAAATTATATATAATTTCATCTCTCTTGTTTCAGTTGCAGCCCCCTTAATGCTTTAGTGCGCGCTTAATTACTTTGATTTTACATTTTATATTTTCGATAAAATTTACTTTTGTTTTACAGCTTCTGCTTAATACAATACTTAGACTAACTAACTCGCTTAAGCCTCACAAACTTTGACAAAAATATAATTATGCTTAAATTAAATTTTTACTAATTTATTCTAGTTTTAAGTGCGTTTCGCCATTTCGCATATGCGTTGCAGCAGCATTTTTTATATACATATTTTTTTTCCTCGGTGTTTGGCAAAACTTTTAAATGTAGCAACAAGTCAAGAGAAGTTTAATGGCAGGAAAAAAGAAAGTTGCACATGAAAGACTTGGCATTAATTTACATTTATTAACTCGGGTTTTTCTGAGGCTACGCAATTTTAGTGTGCCTGTTGAATTTGCATAAAATGAAAATTCGCAAGTAATTAGGACGCAGCTGAGTGTTAAATTGGATATAAGCTGGTTGCAGCTGGGTCCAGCTTAGAAACGGATTCGATGTATATGTATATATGATGTAATCATCAGTGCAATGAATAGGGATTATTTATATGAAATATATACAGATCATATATATGTAGTTATTTCAAATGGGACGCATTTCAATTAAATTTATTATTTTCTATTCAGTTTAACTCATATTTCGATTGAAATGTTCAATAAAATATTCGCCATAATTATCAACTAATTGCCACAACACGAAAAATGCTGCTGAACCGCAAATGCAGCTTAAGCTTAATTTAAGCCTCTGCCCAATGAATATTGAAAGCAAACCAATTGCAATTTAATTCGAACTCTCGACTCTATGATTATTGCATATGTGCTCTCATAATTTCTTTTTTCTACTAATTTCATATATATAAATTTTTTCCTTTTACATGCTAACACATACGCGTTCAATTATATAACAACCAACAAAAAAAAAAATTACTCAACAATTTGCATGCAATCAATTTAAATATATATTTTGAACGACTCGCACGGATTGGAATTTCAAATGGCAAAATGCAACCAAATAACGAAACCAACCAAATGTACTCGCATATTCACACACACGAAAACACCAACACACACTCACACACCTGCCAAATGCTGAATGGATGCCGAACTGCAAAAACAACAAACAAACCAACCAAACAATAAACAATCGCATTCTTCTACGCTTCATTCTCTGGCTCTGGCTCTAATCACCTCACACATAAATATATACATATATACATATATCTATTATTTTTTCTCTCTCTCTCTAATTGAAACACCAACAAATGCAAATTGCATGTTTTGCCGGCTTTGTGACTATCGATAATTATAGCAAACACTAAAATACCGCCACTAAATGCTTCCTGTGTTATCTATACCGATGCCAGCGGCCAGGTACAGTCGCCGCCTTGGGCTGGCTAACAGCCTGTTGGCAGCATGTTAAGCGGCTGTTAATGCTAACACTTGACATTTAATTTAATTTCTCTCACTCTCGCTCTTTCTTTATATTAGTTTTAAGTTTTGTTTCTGTAAAGACAACACACACACACTTACAACCAATGCCCAGACTAAATTCAAATATTCAATTGTATTTTATGTTTATGTAATCAACTAGAAATACAAACACAATTAGAGCAGCAAGTGTTTAATAATCCGCGAAATTGTCATATTTAAATAATAAGTAAGAGAACTTTCAAACTATTTTACGGCTTGCCGAAATTCCGGTGCCCCACCTGTCCGATGAGAAAACATCTTAGCAATTAAGCAACTATTATATATACATATCTATATAACGACCTGCAAATATACATACCTATATACATGCGTCTCCTGTACAAACAAGGGCCAAGAATAGTGTTTATGCCGGCTACTGTGCTACACATCTCAACACACTGGCTGCGTGAATTGGGTTAATCAAATTAAATGCGCTGCCGCGCCCCAAGGGACAGCAGGGGACAGCGACGACAACAGCCAGACCATAAAGACAACAGCAACAGCAACAACAACGACAGCAACAACAGCAATAACGGGAACGATGAACAAAGTGTCGACGGCCATTTTGAAGGCGTTGCCAACGTTGTCGACGATGATGTCAGCGCGCTGACACGGACACACCTTTGAGTGTGTCGTAGCTGTTAGCAGCTGTTTGCACAACTGTCTGACCCAATACGCCACGCCCACACACACACACAAGCACACAGACACACACCCAAACACACACACACACACACACACACATATCTACGACCTGTCGTCAATATTTGCCAAATTGAGAATAAAATAAAAAAGAAACCAATGAAAACAATAGCAAATAAAACTGTATAAAACCTTATAGACAATGCCAAGCTAATCCGTTATCAATATTCTCTCTATTTGATACTCATACAACAGCCCAGCCGGAACGGGGCGTTTTATACACYCAGTGTCCTATGCTAATGAATGGCACGTTTTACATAATTAGGTAAAGAGCGGCCAGAATTTAAACATTATTTACATTCAATATGCTTACAGCAATACTCTCC